GAGGAGTAGTTCTAAGTGTTCATCAGATTTTTATTTCCCTAAAGATGACTGAACTACTTGAGCAGAGGTACTACATCACATTTTATGTTGAAAGCTTGGTGATTTTTTAAGTGAAACAATTCATGAGATTCAGCAAATTATTGGATAAAATGCTGTGGGGCACTACAAATTAAGGAAGGTTCATCCGATTCAAATGTAGTCCCATGTCGGTAGAAAGTGACCAGCGTTTCGGGAGGCCACAAACCTCTAGAAATGCAGCTTTTGTTAAAAAGGGGGAAAATAAAGTAATGAAATGTCGTCGTTTAACCGTATGAGAAACTGCTGAGCAAGTTTTGATCAGTACAGGTTCTTCCCATGTAATTTTGTCGAAACATGCGCAGAGTAGCTGTAAAATTTAATCCCAAACTTCTGTCGGTGAGACAGAGAAACTCCGGCTTGCAATTGCACAAAACCTACTGGAGATTAACAAGCTAAACCTGGCTTCTTGCGACTTCTAGCTGTCCCCAAAAATGAAAATGTCATTGAAAGGATCCCGTTTTCAGAGTAGATATGTAATCAGGCAGAACGCGACAGCGGAGATGAACGCCATTCCAAAAGAGGTCTTCCAGAAGTGTTTTCAGCAGTGGAAGAAATGCTGGGCTAAAAGTGTGTGAATGTACAAGGGGCCTTCTTTGATTCTGAATAGGATCCCAATCCTCGAAAGTAACGAAGATATTTTTTTTCTGTCCAAAGGTCGAATTCTTTTTGAACAGATCTTGTATTTCCCTTTCTAAAACTTTTCAATAACAATTTTTCAACAACTTTATTAATATTTGTCGTAAAAGATAGCACTTTTGAATGTTAACTAATAATATATATCTACTACTCATACCAATCTCATCATAATAACTTTAACTGACTGTACCAAGTGGAAGAAGCGATATCTAGCGACCAGGTGAAGGAATAATGTTGTCACTTTTTGTTAATGTTATGTGCTGTCTTTGTGTGACCTAACTTAAATTTTAACAAATAATATATATTGTTACACTAAGATTTTAATGTGAACTCAACCCCAAATTAACCTTGTATAACATATCTTGAGCTTTTAACACTGTCTACACTATTTTATTTTAAACCGACATAAAACAACTTTTCTTCAACAGGAATATTATTAAATAAAGAATCTTATTTTCTGAAGAAAAAATATTTTCCTTTAGATCATCTCAATATTAATTGTTTAAAAAAATCCATAATAAAAAATATTTGAAATCAGTTAAAAGGAACTAAAGAAAATAATTTGTGTTTTCCAATTAAAGAATTTTTTTAAAAAATTCTGCTGTTGACTCTCAATAAAAGCAAAGAAGATCAAAGTAAAATCATTCATTCATTATTTATATCCTAATGAAATCTCTTCTTTATACAGTTCTAGAGTTTACTTAAGGTTTTTGCAAAACGGTAGTAAAAAAGTTAAAGAGTAAATATCTAGAGCAGATAGCTGAATCATTATTTTTATCAATAGAAAGAACGACAGAAAAAAAATATCTGCAAGTTTTATCAATTAGGCTAACTTTTGAAACTATGTATTTAGAAATGCTTTAATTATTATTTAAACACAATCTGTTCTCTTTAGAAGTATTTACAATGTAACAATATGTTGAATAAAGTCCTTACGAGACAGCTTTTTATTTTTGTTTATCCATAGATTAATTACTAATTCTAATGAAATCATTTACAGACTTTCTAGACAATAGCCAATTCATAGAACCTAAGTATTTAGGCGGTGAGATAATTTTAATATGAAACCTTGAATTATTCATTTACTGTATATTCCTTTTAAGCAAGTAATTTAAAATAATTCTAATGTCAATTCCTACTTAGGTCAACTAAGAAAATTTTATTTTAGTTAATTAAATTCAACTAATGATTTAATATTTGAAAAAACACTGTATCAACATCAAGTGTCATTCACTACAAATTTAAAAAAATACATTTGAAGCCAAGAAAAATTCCTTAAAAAAACTTGTTGGTGCCATGTGATGGTTTTAAATGGTTTTTTTTCGTCAGAAATAAAGTGGAATAAATTTAAAATAAAAAAATAAAATTTAATTAATGAGTTAATATTTTAAAAAAGGTGTATTAACTTCAAGAGTCATCCACTACAACTTTAAAAAATGTATTTGAACTTCAGTGGATGAATAAAAAGTATTTTATTAACGATTGAAAATTTAAGCAAGATATATATATATATATATATATATATATATATATATATATATATATATATATATATATAGGAAGAGAATGGACTAATAGTAGGAATTGAATAAAACAACAACAATAATTGAGCAGAGGCAGCTAAAATTTACATTTAAGAACTCATTAATCAAATGTTTTTAAATTTATGAAATTAATAGTTAGAATAATTCTAATTATTCTTAAAGAATTTTTGTTCTATTTGATTCAAAATTTACGTAAGTCTTTCCAAATAAATCTTCTTCAATTATTTATTTATTTATTTTAGGTTAGATTGCACGGAAAATATATATTGCCATTTCTCCATGTTTTCTTTTATTTCGATGTTCAAGATAAAATATTACAAATTAAATGCTTTTAAAGTAAAAAAATCAAGTGAATAGTTTCGTAAGTATACGATAAATTAATGACCCTAGAGGACTTTTTGTTAAATAAATACAATTAAATAGTAATCTAAATTATTTAAATCCCTGTACATTTTAATCAATGAGAAGTAAAACATTTGTTTTTTTATGCAAAATATCAGAGTACATTTTTAAGCTCAATTAAAATGCATTATAAATATATACTTAATCTATAATTCATTAATGTGAATAAATATTTTCATCAATTTATATTTTTAAAAAATGCACTTTAATATGCAAAATTCTCTTAAAAATTTTATAATTATGATGATATTTTCCGTTTTAAATTTTATTTTTTAATGTCGGAATGTAAAAATTTCAGAAATCAAATAAAGAACGATTGAACAATCAGACAGTTTTGCTTTTTGTTTGAATGAATTCATAGTATTGGGAAGGATTCTATATGTATTTACCAATATTTGATTGACGCACAGAAATTGAGAAAACTATCTTATTAAAGATGAAAATGAATTATAATTCTGTAAGTCAAATTTATCAATTTAATATCGGTTATATGAATTTGTCAAGGATACTGAGAAATAATTGAATGAAATATGTTAGTCAGTTTTAACTAAAATGTTTAAATATAAAAAACGAGTTAGTATAAAGAAGTAAGTAAAACAAGTAACTATATAAACAAATAAAACAAACAAAAATGCATTTTTTTAAATTTTTATGCTCCACTTCTTTAAGCTAATAAAGTTAATTAAAAATGTGAACAATGATTTTTAAGACCTCTTAAAAAGAAAAGTATACGTTATAGTTCTGAAAACATAATAACACATTTAAAATAAAATTCTTGAAAAAATTGAAAAGGTTTTTTTCAATATTAAGAAAAGCACTCATTGAATTTTTAACACTATTTAATTTTCCATGTACACCAAGAACGATGAAAAAATAGTACTTTAAGAAAATGAACTATTTTATTTAAAAAGTTGGCAATTTAACTAAAACATATATAATTAGTTTTTGTAAAAGGAATTCGAATGTAAAGTCACTATTTTATGAAGTTATTTTGAATTATCAACAACACAAAAATGAGTTAAAACCAATAAGTTTCCATTTTCCTGTTCATTATTGATTTAAAATGTTTTTTCTTTGTTTACCAAATATGAATGACCTTCTACTTAATAAATTAAATATTAAAAATAATTTTTAACAAATCTTAATCATTTCTAAATAATAAAAACCTCTTTCACACACATTATTTGAAAATGTGAAAGATAAGTCATAAAAGATAAAAATGTTTAAAAACCTAGACAATTTTGTTGTTTTTTTTAAAAAATATTTTGATTCATGAAATGAAATCGTATAAATATTAAAACAAATAATATCTCAAATACTTCTAAAAAACTTAAGAAACTCGGTAACGTATAAAGTATCAACTTTTTATAGATATATTTTAGAGTTAAATTCTTCATTACATTTTTCTTTGATATAGTAAGTCAATCTTATTTCACAGGTAAAAGCATAGAAACAAAGAATTTTTTCATTCGAAATTGTTTCTTCTTTTTTTCAAAAAGTCGCAAAGAATTTCCCTTCCCAGTTGTCAAACAATTCCAAAGATTCCCCCCCCCCAAAAAAAATAGGACAAAAATGCATTTCAAAATATCTTCAACTAACAAGCGTTCACTTAAAATTGAAAGGACGAGAAACTGGAATCTTATTATATATATATATATATATATATATAAATTTTTTTCTGCTATACTTTGAAACAAATACTATTTGCTATAAAGAAATAAAAGGAATTTTAACATTGAATACCAGAAATGCTTTGACGTGTTAAGTATTTTTTCTGAGATTTATGTAAATATATAGTTAAAGACTCAATAAAAGTATTAATGGTGTTCCATTTTATTAAGCCGTGATCGAATTGTTTTGAAGATGCAAATATATATGATAGGAACCGGAAGAAATATTATACGACAAATATTATTTAAGCTCTTTTATGTTATTTAAAAGTATCGATTTTGATATTTTTTTGAGGAAATTGGACATATACTTTTTTCATTGATGCTGTTTTATTCAAACATGTTCCATTTTTTTTATTTCATTTGAAGAATTCTTTATGTTCAATTCCTACTTTTAGTTCACTCTCTCCCTATATATGTATATATATATATATATATATATATATATATATATATATATCTTGTTCAAATTTTCAGTAGTTAATAAAATATCTTCTATTCATCCATTCAAGTTCAAATCCATTTTTTTAAACTTGTAGAGGATGACACTTGATGCTATTAAAGTTTTTACAAAAAATAATTCATTAATTAAATTTTAAAAAATGAGTAAATAGTAACAAACAAAAATAATAGTCCAACACCATACATAAAGAGTAAAATCGCTCTTTGTGTCCCTGTAGTGCAATGGATAGCACGTTGGGCTTCTAATCCAAAGACCGTGGGTTCGAACTCCGCCTGGGGTGGCTTAATTTCTAAGAAGGTGATTTCTTTTTTATTACACTATTTTATTTGAATAATTAAATTTAATTTATAAATAAATAGTAAAAAACAAATAAAAACAGTCCAACGCCCTATATAGAAAGGGAAATGGAAAATTACAAGGAAAATCGCTTTCTATTTTGAAAAGTAACTAAAATAAAAATTTTCTTTGTTGACTTAAGTAGGCATTGGTTTAAAATTTCTTTTATAGATTACTTGTTTATACTATATAGTATATTAATTCTATCGTTTTTTAAAAATTTAATTCCCTGTTAGAACAGTTTTTTTTTCACTTGTGGCAAGAATGAGAAAAATGTATATAGAATATCGTACAGGAAATTTAACTTACATTTCTTTTATATAGATCGCATATTTAATCTCAATTACTTATATTTAATATTCTTTGATTTTCAAGGAAAAAGGAAAGAGGAAAAAAGAAGGAAGGGATTTTGTTTTGCGTCATGTTTTTGGTATAACAGGAGTTATTATTTTTTTGTAATGTGCTTTTTTTATAAGTAAATAAATAAATCCTATTTGTGTGATATTCGAATAAAAACAGACGATAAAAACCTTAAAGCGAATATATTTAATGATAGTAAAATATATACTAAAAGGTTTGTCACACTTTTTAAAATTTTAAATGTACTTGCTCAGAACAACATAAAAAAAATTAAGCCAACTTCTACGTACGTCAACAAAGACTAATTTTATTTTAGTTCCTCTTTATGAAATTATTACAATTAATATAAATATGTATATGCATATGACAGAATCACAGTATTAAATGGTAAAATAAAAAGCGATTTTCCTTGCAATTTTCCATTTTACTTTTTATATAGGGTGTCGGACTATTATTTTGGTTTGTTACTATTTATATTTCTTAATTATAAATTTAATTATTCCAATAAAATAATATAGTAAAAAGAAATAACATTCTCCGAAATTAGGCCACCACAGGTGGGATTTGAACCCACGACCTTTGGATTAGAAGTCCAACGTGCTATCCATTGCGCTACAGGTAAACAAAGAGCGATTTTAATTTTTATGTATGGTGTCGGACTATTATTTTTGCTTGTTATTATTTATTCATTAATTAAATGGAATTAATGAATTAATGCTTGAAGAAACTATATTAACATCAAGTGCCATCCACTACAAGTTTTAAAAAATGTATTTGAACGTGAGTGGATGAATGAAAAGAATTTTATTAACGATTGAAAATTTGAACAAGATATATATATATATATATATATCTTGTTCAAATTTCATATATATATAAATTTCATATATATATATATATATATATATATATATATATTAGAGAGAGAGAGAACTAGTAGTAGGAATTGAAAAATCAATTATCATTTAAATTTTTTTACGAATATCATTTTAATATGTTACGTGGTGTATCTAGTTCTATTCATAAAATATAGTTAAAAATAAATTTCTGGATGTTATATATAGGTACAGCAGTGTTATAAATCCATATATTTTCCCTCAAGCAAGATTGCTTTACTCTAGTTCTTTTTAGGATGCTTATTAAATGCTTTAAGAAAATATTGAAAAATAAAGGAGAAAATTTTAAAAAAGGTTATTCTTCAAAAAGTGAGTCAAAGCAATCTTAATTGAAAAGAAAGTGTTTTCGTAGTATAAATGACCCCTAGGCGGAATTCGATTTTTTAAAAAAAATACTTATAAAAAATACAAACCTCTTAAGCTAATGTACATATTAATAAACAAACAACTCCTTATCAGTCTTTAAACTCTAAAAAATATAACTTTATTCTTAAAAAGTCATTATCTGCTGTTAATAATGGGACAGGGTTTGAAGCAAATTTCAAAAATGCGCCCATCTTTAATGAGAATCATTGCTTAGAGTCATTATACTAGAAGAGGATTAAGTTACCCCTTTTATGGGCCTTTTTACGCTGCAATTATTTAAGACAGGAATAATTGATGTTGAAGATTAAGTATTAAAGACCACGTATAACAAAAACTTTTATTTTCGAAATAAAATATATTGTGCATAATTATCGGATAAAGTGTGTTGCGTTACCTTCATTTTGATGAAGTTTTTTTTTATAATAAGGAAATTTTACTAACTAAATTACTACATATATTTTTTTAAATTTCAGAGTTATGATTGACATTATTCTAAAATTTATTTAATTTTATGTCAAAGAATAACTAAACTGATAATGTAATAAATCTAAAAAAGTTTCCTAGATAAGTTAGCTAGGGCAAAGCCTAAATTTTAGGATAACGTTTTGGTTTCTTGGATCAAACTCCATAACATTATTACTGATATAGATACAGGGTGCCCAGTAATTAGCCGAAAAATTTGAATTGTTTAGTAAAAGAGTTTGAGGAGATATAAAAGAAAAATATTTACTTCGTGTGTAAGTAGATTTGAAGTCCAGTGACTGAGTGGTAGTGTATCGTGCTTCCCCCCCCCCACACACACAGGTCCGGGGCTCAAATCCTGGGTTGGGCAAGATCAACTCAGCCTTTCATCCTTCAGTGGGTCGATAAATGATAACCAAACTTGATTAGAAACTAAACAATGGGGGTTTCGCGTCAGATTGGCCATTTGTCCGAAACATTTGCACAAGCACCTCAGCGCCTAAGGCCACGTAAACTGAGATAGGCCTTGGCCCACACGGGCTGCTGTGCCACTAACTTCAGTTATAAGTACACTTACTCTGATTTCCTACACAAGATTTTCGAAGTGCTAACCATTACTTGGAACAATAAGGCAAAGCATAAAATCAAAGTTGTCGAAAACTGAACGAATAATTGGCAGTGTGATGTCCGAAATTTCAGCAGAAATTGCTTGGTGGAGTTCATCTAATGATTGTGGACGATTTTGGTACACATTGTACAGTAGAACGTCGTTTATCCGAATCAATTGGGACCGGACACTGTTCGGATAACCGAAATTCGAATGCGATCCACGCAGTATATGAAACCGACACTATACGAATATTGAAAATCATCACATGCGGGAAACGTGCTTGAAGAAAAAGTAAAATGGGTGCAAAATGTCTCAATTTTACCTTTATTGTGGAAAATAATCACTTATTTTTCGCTGTACCATTGTATACCTTCGTTTTTTCGCTGCCTGATTCTCCTGAGCAGCAATAGTTGAGTACAACAGCACTATGATTATTGTTCGTACCACTCCATAGCTGTCTCTTAACACAGAAAATGCGTCAGCAATTGATGGACCCTTGCTACTTTCATTGCTGATGTCCTCGTTATCTTTCGTCTCATCGTTGACAGGGTCGGATTCTTCTTGCACGGAAGTCACAATCTCGTCATCATTTTGCATTTGAAATGCACAGTCTTCTGCATCGCATGCCATCCGAGTTTCTACATCTTCATTGCATTCTAGAGATCCTGGAATCGATTGGACAAAATCGGTACTCTCCTCCCTGTGGTCGTCATTGAAAAAACAAATTCGAAAACGTATTCATATAGAGTACATGTGGTTGACAAAAAAAAAGAACTGGTACGGATATTTGACGCTCCGGATAATAAACATTCAGATAAACGACATCCTATGTATTTCAAATTTTCCAAAGAAAATAGTCCAAAGCAGGGGTACTCAACCTTTTTCTCTGCTGGGCCACATACATATTTAAGCTATTTCACGCGGGCCGCATATGTATGTTAGTTATTTCACGCGGGCCGCATCTGTATGTTAGTTATTTCACGCGGGCCGCAAAATAAGAATAAATGGTGGAGGGGTTGGAGAAATGCTTGAAGACCAAGATAACATCGGTAATTTAAAATATGGAAAGTTGATCAAAATCTTATATTTTTTATTTTGATGTTTTTAATTATTATTTTTTATATTTATTATGTTTATCACTAACACTAAATCAGATACATTTAAGAAACATTCCTTTACAATTTTTGCATCAGTAAACGGTTTCATATAATTGCCAACAATATAACAAATTTCATATATAGAATTCATGTATTTCATAATATACCATATTCACATTTCAGAATATTTCATAAAATTACCACTGTGTTATTAGCACTGACGAAACACTTCGATGCTATTGCAAAGACTATTCAAGAAAGCCTATTTATCACCTCTTGAAAGTGATCTCCGAGGAAAAAGAGTCATTGTACAGTTCCTGTGATCATTGGTATTTTTTAAATTCAACACTTTCGGGAGAAATCAAACCATTACTCATCTATGTTTATTTTTCACTACAAAATAGTCAAATTCCCAATCGTTTTGAAACAGCCTATTTTCTTCGAATATTTTTTGATGACAAGATATGAAAGAAAGTAAAAAATTAGTTTCACTCATAAAATGGTCGCTACACCACTGTTGTCTATTATCACTAATCAGGAGGGAGGGATATCAATTCGCGGCCCATACGACATCCATAACAAAAAGCAAAATTGATATATTTGATTCTTTAACAAATAATTCAACACCAAATTTTCATAAATAAATGAATTTCTCAGAGCAATGGTACACGACCGAGCCACTTAAAAAGGCTCGGAGGGGCACAGTTTGAGTATCGCTGGTACAGAGGGTTCAAATCAGAATAGGCAGACCCCATTCAAATCCCTTTGCAGTTGCGTCAGTTCTTGGAGTTCTCTTCTGTTGTAAAGGTTTTTGGTGGTCCAACATTTCCCTTTCGCATATCATGCACAATCCCATGTTCTTTAAATTTCCTAATCAAATAAAAATTTGTCGAGGATGCTCCACCATTTCGAGTCATACATACTCTTGATCTTTCGTCTCGTTGTTGTGGCTGAAGATGAAATCCTCTGATGGTCAAATTAGGCATTTTGCTGCAAACAGCTTGCAAAGACTCAAATTTTTGCTGAAAACGTCTTGCAACTCCGTGTCTGTCCAGTGCTGCGTCACAGAACAAAATGATCGAACCGTGGGTAGCCTAGTGGTTAGAGCATCGGACTCCAGACCGGAAGGAGTGGGTTTGATGCCCGATGCCAC